AATATTAAAAATATTTTTTCACAGTATATATAATATATAATAATATAATTAAGTAAAAAATTATTTAATATTGAACTCATTTCAAAGGTATTAAGAAGACGATTATAATTGTGTAACTTGGTAGAATAAAAATGTATTTTTTAAACATGTTTTAATTGATATACGATTATGTATATTAATTCGATAAATGTTTAAAATGAAACATTTAAAAGTAAAGAACGTAAAGTAAATTAATTAACTAATTATAGGGGTATAAAGTGTAAATTTAAAATTATAATTTAAAAAAAATCGTATGTGAGAGGGTGAGTGTATGTGAGGGGGTGAGTGCATGTGAGGAGAGGAGGGGGTGAAAAAGTGTATAAAGGGTATCTTGGTCATTTAGTATTTTAAGACTTTTGCTAAATTTGCTTTATAAGATAGTATAGATATATACACACACATAAACAATCGTGACGATTCGAAAACCAAGTTGAATGTAAAAGTGTTTTCATAGTATATGGAGACGTTTTGAATTATAGAATTCTATACTATTTATACTATATTATAAAACATTTGACAAAAAACTTTTAAAAACCATTTTTTTATGTATGAAATACCATTTATTGAAGCATATTACTTAAAATTCAAGATTACAAGGAATTTTGCGTAAGTACAACTTATTAAAACTCCATTTTTAAATTCGTGTAACTAACTGCAGATAAATTTAAACAAATACATGATAAACATCCATTTTAAATATTAGAAAATATAAAATATAATTAAGATAATCATTGAATTCTAACAGAATGTTTAATTATTATCTTTATAAAAAATTATATTATTAAACCAAAAATAAAGACGTTATCATTTTCTCAAAACCACATAAAATTATACTATATTGATAGTGACAAAAAATAAAAATTAAACATTAAAATTAAGATTTATCTCGCTGCATTGCGCGAGTACCCTTCTAGTCTATATCTATACTATATTATAATGCATTTGGCTAAAACTCTTAAAAACTCTTAAACTCTTAAAACTCTTAAACC